AGAATTCGGAACTCTGTGGGGAAACGCAAAAAAAGACTAGAGATTCAGTAATTGGAATTTAACCCTCTTGCAAGGTCTAATGCTAGCTGGACGACTACTTTGAACGCCAGCTTTTTCCTCCGGTTCTTTATGAGGTAAGATTTGAGAGCACCTCCAGGACAATATTCAACAACGACACAACAAATATTGCTCGGCATGCCAATTTGGCCATTTTCTGTTTGTACTTGTAGATCTGAGGAGCCTATTGTTGCTCCTATAAACTGAAAAAGTTAATGAAACACCATAAGTCATCTTTTAAACCTATACAAATAACTCCTTCAGTATGGTACGTTTAGATATGAAACACCAAAAGAGATTATGTTCTTATCGGCAACTAAGCCCATAGCTTGTCTCATTGCAGATTCAAGACACTTTGCTTAAAGATTTGAAGCCAATAACAAAGAACTTATAATAATTATTACTATGGCTACCTACGAAAATGCAAAGAATGGAATCAGATGTATTTTCTCAATAGTCTTAGAATCTAAAGGCAATTACCTATAAGTAGAAGTGCTGATCCATGAAGAAATGGATAAGTGAACAAGGAAAGCATTCATAATTTCAAGCTTTCTTATGCCAAGTTGGTTTATTCATTAAAACTATACGTTAATCTTGGACAAGGACATGATGAAAGTCGAGCTAGGAAGAACACCATCAAATCTTACCTTCGTAACGTTAGGATGGTCAAGCTTGTGCCAAACAACAACTTCTTGTGTAAAAGCTGCTCTAAGCGACGCGATTTCTGCCTCCGACCTATGACCCTCTTCACCCCAGTCAAGAAGTTTAACTGAGGAAAAATAAACCAACCTTTAGTCTCTTAAAGAAAGACTAGCAAATAGACTTAAGCATTGCCAAAACAAATGCCCCAAAAGTTTTTCAAAATAAGGGGAAAAGCCCCAACAAAACGAAGCTTAAAACTATTACTAATTTGGGCAACTTAAAGATTCAGATACCTAACAATAAGTAACAAAAAATCCAATTTGCAATCGAGTTAATTCCTTTATGGGGTTCTCCGTTTTCCAATTTTATGTGCAACTGTGTTCTTTAAAAGGGTGCATGTCAACAATTAATGGGGACACACAAAAGTTCCAAAAAAAGAACAGTGCAGTAGTTAATGCAAGTAGCTGTCTGCTCAAGCCAATCTCGTGAATCAGTGTTTTGTTGAGGATAATATCTACAAAGAGGCCATAACTCCAAAAAAAGAAAAAAAGAAAGCCAAATAGAACTCTCATAGTTCTATCCAATTCAAAACAAGACAGAAAAAACTTCATGTTTGCAAATAATTGATGCAGCAGAAAAGTGTTTATTCTCATTTTGGCATAATATCAAACAGGTTTAAGGCATATCCTTCCTCAGAAGGCATCGATTCCTCAGCTATTTAAGAACTAAGAGAAAAAACCCATTTCATTTATGAACAATCTCCCAAAGAAATTCAATATCAAAATCCTTATATGATCTTCCGCCAAATTCAGAATCAGAATCCTCATATGATCAATGCAATTACAAAAACCAAAGAAAACAGAATCAATATCGAGTGGCTTCAGCCATGCATTTATGAACTGATTTTCTCAGAATCAATAACTCATTCTTAAACAAACAGAGTAGAGGGAGAAAAATCCCGTACCAGCAACATCTTGGCCATCATAAATTCCACGATGAACAGTTCCAAAAGTACCACGAGCTATGACGCTTTTGATGATGAGTTTAGAAGGATCAATCTCCCATTCCTGCCTGGTGATCGGCAGCTTTCCACCACCACCACCGCCGCCGCCGCCGCCGCCTTCCTCGTCTACCTTGCTCTTGTTCTTCTCCATAGTCCATGCTTTGCTCAAATGTCTCTGCAACTGCTCGTCTAAGCTCTTCAGATCTATCTGATCTGCCCTCACATACCCACCTCCAGTTTCACTCTTTTCCTTCATATTTCCCTAAAATTGGACAAAATCAGTGACAGAAATTCGTCGGCACAGAGGCGATTGTTCCTCCTTCGAGTACTGGAAATGATGATGGGTTTGTTGGTGACTGTATTTCTGGGTTGGGTAGAGAGAGAAAGGGGGAAAAAGCGAGAGAAATTAATAATAGTGAGCACAAGAAAAGCACAAGTAGAGAGAGAAGAGTGAGTGTATTTTTCCTCTCCCCATGGATTTTGCCTGAAGAAGACGAGTGTTTTTTCAGTCCCACATCGGTTATTTTCTGCACTAACAAACGCTATCTCTTTTATACACGTCCGTTTCTTCGCCTTCTCTTGCCCCTCTTCTTTTTGGACTATTATTGGTTCTTTTGGTCAAGTCACAAACACAATAATTATAATATATATATATATATAATCGATAGTCGAACACGGTAAAAACAAAGTTAAACAATCAAAACGGGCGAGAACTGAACAACCAAGCCGACTTAAGTTTAAGATCGTCCACTAGAGATATCCACAAAGTGAGAGAGCGGAGAAGTTTTCCTCATCTCCGTCATTGCTTCTTATTTTATTTCTCATCATCGCAAAATTAATTTTCAAAAAATGTTCATGAATAATTTTCATTTTCGGTACAATTTATATTTAAAATGTAAAAATAATAATAAATTCAATAATATTTTGTAAGGAAAATAATAATATCATATTCAACTTAATTTCTAAACATTCAAATTTCAATAGCTTCCATTCTTAAAAATATATATATATATTTATTAACTAAGTAAATGTATATTATTGGATCAGGGTGGGTGAAGATTGGGTCCAACAGGGGGACGGAAAATGTTCGGTGTTTAGGGTTTGGAGATAATTTTTGAAATAAAATATTAACCATTAAAAAAAAATTAATTAAAAATAATAAGGGTATTTTTTTTAAAAAAAAAAATTAAAAATTCTAGAGGTAATATCGATACTTTTTTTAACCGTTTAACAGTATAATTGGAGTTCGTTAAAAAAAAAAAAAAAAAAAAAAAAAAAAAAAAAAAAAAAAAAAAAAAAAAAAA